GGGGGGGGGGGGGGGGGGGGTCGAGCTCGACCAGCTCAGCGTCTTGATGCATGGAGTTGCAGACAAGGAGATCCGTGATGTCGACAATGTAGAGTTCGACATCAGGCTGACGAAGAATGTGGTGGAACTGGGTAGGTGTCAAAATGGCGACATTGACAGGAGAGGGGGGTGTAAAGTCTGATTTTCCCAACAATGGAATACAATATTGCTTCCCATCCTTGGCGTCGAGGACGAGGTCGTTGTGGATCCAATCGGGATCGGAATGGGCGAACTGATGGGAGTAGGAGGTGCCGAGAACAAGGTCGTATAGGGTTTCCATGACGTCGGAAGTCCACTGGTCATGGAACCGAGGGGCCTTGCGAAGGCTATGTGGCATTCTCAAGGGGAAGGAGAACGGTAGATTAGGCACCACACAATCGATGAAGGATTTGGCCTGATTGTCGCCAAGCGTGACTGTGACAGTTGAAGGGTAAGGGGATGTACAGAGAGATGGCTCCTTAACTACACGAGGATGAATGAAGTCACCAGTAGAGCAAGAGTCCCATAGTCCGCGATACACTCTAGTAGAGGTCCCGAGGCGCACTGGAATAATCGGTAAGGTGCGATCGTGATTGTGTAGGCGCTGAGACATCGCATATAGGGTATGCTCTCTGAGGCGGAGACGTTCCAAGTGGACCTTAACGCACTCGATGTCCAGGAAGTCTATGATATCCTCGGCTGCAACAAGGCAAGCACTGAAGTGGGTCGTGCGTAACGCACGCCTAGTAGGAGGACGAGGAGGAGGAGGATCACGAGAGACGGTAAGCAAAGCAGGGGAGGGTGCACTAGCGTCGCTAGGATTGAGCAACGATGAGGTCAGGTCCGAGTCCTCAAAAAGAGTAGCAAGCGGCGCAAAGGTAGAATCGCGAGCGGGTATGCCTGCTACTGTAGGAGGACCAGGGGGACGGGAGATCGTCGCTAGGTGGTTGCGGCACTGGGGGTCGAAACGGGGGGGTCAGGCTGAGGGCGGGAGTGCTGTGCAGAGTAGGGGCAGGTGGACGGAGTGTGACCAGGTAGGCGACAACGGGTACATATACCTCGTGTACGAAAGTCCTCACTTTCTGCGATTGTCAATCGAGCCCAGGGAAAGACATAGCCCGATGGGAGGGGCTGCTGTGTGGCCGATGAGCGGGTCCTCGACGAGGAGGACTTGCGCTGTTTGAGGAAAGCAGAGAAGGCGCGGACGAGGTGCTCGTCCTGGTCGGGATTGTCACCATCCACAGGAGACTGGGGGTCATGTCCCTGGTCCGGATCACTATGCGATCCGTCCGAACCAGTACCCTCCTCAGCGCTCGACGACTCGCGGAGCATGGTCTGGACATGGCGGAAGAAGGTGCGTCCAGGAACTCGGCGGGGGCCGCGGCGAGACGTGGAGAACTGTCGGGGGCGAGATGTGCCAGGGGCAGATGTGGCAGCGGGAGGTGCAACACCAGGCTGAGATGTGGAGCCCACAAGAGGTGCATAGGTCAGTTGGATGGCCCTGGCAATGTTGAAGGCCTCAGGGAGGGTGTGGACTGTGTATGCCAGCATCTGGAGCTGGAAGGGTTGGGGTAACCCGGCACGGAAACGCTGGACAATAGCGTTGTCGGCTATGAGGGAGGGAGGAATCTGGGCGCGAACGCGGTGGAATGTCGTGATGTACGACTCTACGGCATTGTTGCCACCGAGCCATCTGATCTCAACGACCCGTGTGATCGGGTCACGGGTAGGCGTCAGGCGAGAGAAGTACTACTGGAGAAAATAACGAAACTCGGTGTACGTCATACTCGCATGAACGCCCTGCTGAGTACGAAGGGCGAGAAAGTCGCGCCAAGTGGAAGCCGCTCGAGCTGTGAAGCGGGCTGACATCTCTGTGGGCCAGAAGTCCATGTTTACACCATGGTACCGAAGTTGCTCCTCGATGTGGTGATCCAACCCTGGAGTTCGGAGGCCTTGCCATCGAACTGGGGGAGTCTGTCAGGGTGGTAGCGGGGTACATAGGGCGGAGGCTGATAATGAGGAGGGAGGGGGAGGGCACACTGCGACAAGAGGGCAAAGGAACTAGGGGCACCCGTAGGAGCACTAGACAAGGCCGAAAGCTAAGGCAAAGGGCCATGAGACATCGTGGTGGCCGGTGGAGGAAGAGTAAAGTGCATCGTAGCGGCCTGTGTCTGATGCTCCCGGTAGATAAAAGGGGCAGCAGGCTGTGCCGCGAGGTGGGGAGGCAAGGGTTGACCTCCTTGGAGCCGGCGGAAGTGGTCGTGGGCCATGGCAATTGGTTTTGGAGCTCGACATTTTGTGTCCTGGGTGTCATAGGGGGTGGGGGGGGAGGTAAAGAAGTGGGGGGTGGTGAGGTAGGTATCGTGGATACTAGAATTAAGGAGGTGGTGGAACACGATGCCATGGGTCCGGACGAGGGAACTGAGGAGGTGGGGATTTGGGAGGAAGAGGTGGTTGCAAAAGAAAGGTGAGTCGGGGGAGAGGCCATGCCACCCGTGGACGAGACAAGCGTGTAGACGANGGAGGTGGGGATTTGGGAGGAAGAGGTGGTTGCAAAAGAAAGGTGAGTCGGGGGAGAGGCCATGCCACCCGTGGACGAGACAAGCGTGTAGACGACGCCAGCCGACGAGGGAGAGGAAGCTCGCAGAGACGCTGATGACATGGGTGGGGAACTAGACTGCAAGATGCCAAACTGGGGAGATGGGAGGTGTGATCTACTAGGAGCATGTGTGTGGGAAGAAGGGGGGGGGGGGAAGGGAGGAGGGGGGTGTGGCAGCACGTGACTCCATCTGTAACATCCGATCCGACAAAGTATTGAAGTTGGTTTGTATGGCCATGAATTTGGCCTCAAATGTGGCCTTCATGTCCTGGAGGATGGCGAGTACAAGGTTTGACTGGGTGATGGGGCCTGAACTGGGAACTGCAGGGGTGTCACGAGCTAGGAATGCAAGGCCCTCGCTGATCAAGCAGGAGGGACTCGCTAGCTCAACACTTTGCATAGAGTCAGGGGACGAAGACGATGAAAGGGGGAACGGGGATCGGGGGGGTGTTCAATGGCAGCGGTCGGCGGGTCAAAGCGAGCGAGTCGGTGTGCGGCAAGGGCGTCCCGGGCGCGGTTTTGGAGTACGCGCCGCTGGTTGTG